CCTTATTGACCACATTGCGAGACAAACGAATATCACTAGCGATATTATTTTCGATTTATCTTTATTGTTGTAAATTACTAATTTGAATAAATCAAGTGTTCAATCCAGTGTTTTGAGGTCAATGAACAACGAAGACACATTTTTAAATCAAAATTATGGCTAATGCTTTCAAAACAGGCAAATACGCTTCCATCAAAAGAAAAACAAATTTATATTTTTGTCTCAATTTGCTATCTATAATCCCAGCATTGTCACTGAACATGATGAATACTTGGTTCAAACAGTAATTTATGCACCACATGCAAAAAAGTTTTCGCTTCAGGGTGATAAAATAGAAAGTTATAATTTGATGGCAAAGTATGTAAAAATGTAAATCAGAAAATTATTCATCATGTTCCATGATCCAGAAACATAACTTTCACCTGAATTGTGGTAAGAGGGGACTCAGATGCAATTCAAGATGAAATTATGAATTCTGATATTTTTATGGATGAAGCTAATTCGCATATCATGTAAAATCTACTGGTTATAGCAATATATTAATCATGTTCAATGGCATGGGCAACAGCAATAACACTTGAAATGATTTAATTTGGATCCCAGATAACAAATTTTGATAAAAATCATTATTTATTTAACTCATTCACATAATTATTTTGCAAAGATTAACCATAATATTAATTTCAAAATGTGACCACCTTGTTCACTGACCCCCAAAACATTGAATTGAACACTAGATTTGTTTAAATTGGTTACAAAAGATATTCACAGGAACCCCACAATTTTAATTTCTTTATTGTTGAAGAATATTTGCACATTATGCAAATCACATGCAATACATTATTTCACTGTCATTAAAAACAACAGATTGAACATTAGTTTCAATTGGATACATACAAAGGGAAAGTACACATTTAAATTTCTTTATGGTAGATGCTTATTTGTATACTATGCAAATCTTTGGACATAAAAATGTATCTATCATGTTTAATAACATTGCAAACATAATGTGGGGCAATTGAATTTTGAAAGTCTGGTACTTAGATGCAAAATCATGAAAAATTTGATTCTATTTTTAGTCATTTAGTCATAAATTATAGTCATGGAAAGAATCTGAAAATGTCATGGTTTGCTGACCTTATAAACATCACTTCAAGTATTAAAACCATGAAAGTTTAGTGCAAATATATAGTAAAAATATGAATTTGAAGAAAAAAGCATATTTGTATGTTATGCAATTTGAACTGCTTTCCATTACTTAAATTTTACTAGAATTTTAGTTTGTTGCATAAGAATTATTCCAAAGGGCACTGCAGTGGAATATAATTATTTTGCAATTACTTTTGGGATACCCCCTAAAATTCAATGGACTACTCTTCTTGAATATTCAAATACATTCTTCTTGAATATGTAAAAAATGTCTTTTTGTACATTATAGACTGCAAAAATAAGCACAGCTGCGCTGAACTTGTTACAATGAACAGCTCACCGTCTTAAACTGTGGTAAACTGTGTCGTTATTTTTGAGTCCAGAGAGGCCATAATTTACAGATATCCTTGTCAAACCAATGCCTATCATGTAAGTTGTATTATCCATCTCATTTCATTTAAAGCATGCTTATCCAGTTAGACCGCAGTCTCTGTGAATTTACATGTATTTATGTGAGTCGTATGTACATCCCAACATATATAATCTCTTAATTCTGTGGAGATATTGTATATTGACATGAAACTTACAGATCAAGTGTTTGTGCAATATGTAGTCTTGAACATTAGGTGGCAATAGTATACAAATGTTGACTGCTTTGAGGGGCACGGTGAAAACTATGGCTCGAGGTGAGCTTGCAACTGTGCTATTCCCTGAGTCGATAGTCGAGGAGCATGGCGCAGTTGTGAGATCACTGAGGGCCATGGTTTTTAACCGTGACGCGAAAAAGAAGCAGTCAACATTTGTTTTATATACCGCGTCCTTCTTGATGAAATACGGCACGGTAACATAATTCTCATCGATTGCTCTTTCAAAATTTCGTTCGGTGTACATGTATGATATGGTTCTGGCAGCGCGCCAGCGTATCTAAATTGCCATAGCTACACGCAGTTTGTGACTGCGGTCATGAAATGGAAGCAGAAATGAGAGGTCCGGTCTCTTTAACACGAGGTCACGTTAAGCCCTGCCCAGTTATACCGTTCTAGTTTGACTAGTTATACTAGTTACGTCCACACACAACACATCTCGTGATTAGGCGTGATTCTTTGTTGAGATCTAGTTCGAAACGATGCCCGAACCCGCGTTTCGTTATACGACGTATTGTTAGTAAGCGTCCACACACACAATTTCATCGTATAATTATCCCATAATGGTATAACTAATCACCCCTAATCACGGAAAGTGTTGTGTGTGGACACGAGGTACGTCTAACAAACTATAGAGTTCTAGTATTCTTAATGACTTAAATTTTGACCAGTTATGGTCTAGTATACTAACCAGATATACTACCAGGGGGGTGATTCACTAACAGCTAAAATCGATGCCAAATGAGATTAAATCGCTCTTAGGCTCAATATCGCTCCTAAGAGCAATATCGCTTTTAGGAACTGATTCACTTAGGCATTTGGGATTAAAGCTAGCATTAAAATCGCTATTAAGGCTAAGAGTGATCGCGATCACTTTTAGCCTTACTTAATTAGTCAAGACAGTTTTACTCTTAGCAAAGACAAAAATGTCAAACTGAAGCTAAATTAGAGCAAACACGAGGAAGATAGATATTGTTAGTCACCGATTTGATTTGCTCTATGATAGGGTAGGCCTAACTTAGTGCCAACAACATGTAAAACACCTTAGACTTGGATTCTACATCAAGACTGTAGGATGATCACCCCCACTGCCTTGACCCAGCCCACGCAATCTAGAACCGGCTACATGCTAGCTACATGAGAACGGTAGGTCCAACTCGGCATACATTACGTACGTTAACTCCGGCATTTTACTCGAAACAAGCGTAAAGAAAGACAAACTATACCCACAGAAAATCGTATTCATCCTCACACTGCTACATGAAAAAGTCATGAATAATTTGGTTTCTGTCTTTAAGCGACGATAGCTAATTATCGTTTTGTCGATTGATGCCCAGTGACTAAAATTTGAGTCTGTTGATTGGTTGGATTAATCGCGTACATGAATATTCATATGCGTGCATGATTATTCACGATGGGATTGATCCCAACCTAAAAGCGATTTAGTAAACCAGTCAGGTAGAATCGCTTTTAAGCTGGGATTAAAATCAATCCCCAAAATTGCTCTTAGGAACGATATCGTTTCCAGTTAGTGAATCACCCCATCCCAGATACACTAACCTTGAGATATCACACCAGCAGAGCTAAAACCTGTAATTTCAGAAATTCACCTCCGTGACCTTTATGACCTTTGAGCTTTTCCTCCAGTTACTCCAAAATCTAATGGTTCTTGAGAAATCGCATAAATGAGAAAGTGGGACGACATACAGACTGGCAATCCGAAAAACATAATGCCTCCGGCACCACATTTGGTGACATAAAAAATGATCTGTCTTGTTCTTAGGACAATTTTTAGATCAATATCTTGTATATCCATAAAATTTGAATGAAACTCTCAAAAAACTGATTACGCAAAGACAACTTTGATCATTAAATTCTACAGTGGATCGTCTGGTAAGACAAATTTGAGAAAAGAGTTGAAATTGATTAACCATTCATTGACCAAACTGAATGACAAATGACTAAATTGCTTCTCAGGATGAAGTTGAAGTGCATAATGATGATATTAAAGCCCCACTGTCCTACTTGTAGCTACTGTAAATCTCTGTGTATAAGGCGCACTTTTTTGCCGCCGAAAAAATTTGAAAGTCGGGGGTGCGTCTTATACACAGGTACAGATTTTTTTTATTTATTTTTTTTTAGTTTCAATTTATGGCGCTATGCCTGGCAATGTCTCCCAGCTCAGTTATCAGTGTGTTGACTCACCACTCAGAAACTACAACACTCAAATTTGTCTGTCATCTTGGTTTGAAAGTAATCTTTGTAATAGATCTCAATATGTAGTTTATAATAATAATTCCTCAATTTTTTTTTCTATCACAAATGGTGTACCACAAGGTTCTATCCTAGGTACTCCATTGTCAGAAATTGAGAGGATGCTATTCATATCATGCATGACTATTGATGTTTGGCATAGAACACAGTGCTTCTGCTAGGAGATGTGATGAGGCTGGTGTGCGACACTTGGTATCATGAAGCCTATTACTATTATTTGTGACAAGTTCACAACTTCAACTGCACCTCGATGTAAAATGAAGGTCCTTCCCCACGTGGGTTTTCGGCAACAAAACAACAACAACAACAAACACAGAGATTTACGGTACTTGCTCCCTCTATATAGAAAACATCCCCAATCGGTGCCTGTTGATCCCCCATGATCCTCTTTTTCTTATGTTAGTCGAGAGCTGAGTTAATGAGATAGCCACCTGTCAGTGACCTCGCTGTGTGGTCTAATCCCTTCTGGCCCAGTAGTATAGACGGTCTTTGAAGGAAAATTCAACCTTAATAGACACCGAATATCAAAGTAAGCAGTCAAATCAGAGAAGTATACCAATGAAAATTTGCATGAAATTGGGCAAAAAAATGATGAGCTTTTGAAAATTGTAATCACTATACGTATGGGCACTTCAATTTTGATGACATTCTTGATGTCATGCTATCTCATATTTCAAACATTCAATCATAACTCTCTCTTTATTGGTCAAATTTAGTTCAAAATTTCGCCATTCTGTTTCTCTATTTTTCTGCTTTCATAAAAAATAAATCATTACAAAGGTTAGATTGCCCTTTAAATGAGAAAAGTGTTAACATGGATGGGAAATCCTATATTTAAACTTTTTAAAGCAAACATGATTAACAGCAAATAGTTACAGTTTGAAGGAGAACTCCTGGGCTGGATATATGTTTTTCAATTAAAGCAACAAATCATATTAAATTAATGATACATCCCTTTTCTCCCATTCTTTAATTTGTTCATTTCAATTTTTCTTTTACTCTTTATGTCAGCTATTGAAATATACAACTAGCCTATAATCATCAATTTTATTTTATGCAAACTGCTAGATCCATCTCAAACAATGGCAAGTTATCAGGGAGAACCGTCCGATGCGAAGGCGCTTGCTTCAGCTGAACCTAACTGGCCGAACCCTGGTCTTCTTACATTCAGAAAGCTGACAATCAACAAGGGACAAATCACCCGAGTAGAAGAAAAGAAGATGGAATCTAATATTCAAGCCCAAGACACTATCCTTTGCAGTAACATTTACAGTGAACAGTTCTGCAATGCTGCCCGCAATGTTAAAGGTGAGATATTTACAAGATTTATTATAACGTAACCATACATAGTGCATACACTATTACAACACCAGTCACTGAATTCTGTTACGATTTTGCACTCTACTGTGCACACTCTACACTCCCTTGGGAAGCATTCTAGCCAGTCACTCTGTTTATGGGTGTGCACATGCTAATCCAATCACATTGACCTTTGTATCCTACCTGGTCCCCATTTAAAACCTGAGTGGAGAGGAGAGATCCCAACAAAATGACTTGCCCAACACCATTAGTGCCAGGGATCGAACCCTGGACCTTTGAATTTCTAGTCAAATTATTAGACCACTTGACTGTGACACCTTAATGGAAATATATGCAGGAAAATATGCAGAGTTTCTATTGATATCAAAGTAAAGGATATTAATCCAGTAGTGCAAGAGATATTTTCAGTCATACTCAATTTTCCCACTTTTGGGGGCAGGTTTATTCATTTTTTTTTTTTTAAATGTTTACTTTAAGGTGTGATGCTCTACCACTCCTACAAGAAAAGTGAGGCAATCAAGATATGGCAAGAGATATTAGTATCAGATAAAACCAATCTAAATGCACTACAGGACATAACACTGGCATACCAAAAACTACGCTACAACCGGAAGGCACAGGAGTATGAAGCACAGCTGAGGAAGACGATACGAGATGCAAGCCCTGATGCGAAGTGCATGATGTTTGCTAGGTGCCAGGCTGAACAGGGTTATGCTTTATCTCAAGATCTGCATACACAATCCTGGAAAGGGATCGACCTGCTTCAAGAACAAACCAATTGCTACGAGGCGGCGCTTAAAATGGCTAAGGGTCTCATAAGCCAGAAGGAGAAGAGAGATTGGCTTCTGTACACTGGTAAGGCATATGAAAGGCTTTGTCACGCTTCTTTCAGGGCTTATAATCAAGATCTCTACAAGGATTCCATAGGAAGGGCAATAGAGAAACTACATGAAGCCCTCCAAATGCCTGATGAAAATGCACTGTACCAGGCAGAGATATGGCTCACAATTGGGAACATGTTTTCTCGAGATAAGAGCTGTGAAGCATTTGTTCTTCCTCAACTTGTAGAACAATGCTACAAAGAAGGCTGGGAAGAACCAATAATATGCTACAAAAAGGCTTTAGAATTTGATCCCAACAATCTGTGGCTTTTGGGTCGTAAAGGAATTTGCCTCTTCAAGAAGCAAGATTACGATGGTGCCTTGGAAGCATTCGATCGATGCATTCATGCTACTGACGACCTTCCACCCGAGGACCCACAGAGAAATTCCTCCTGGAATGCTCTGTGCCACAGAGCCAAGACATACATCAAGAAGGCCAAAAAAATTGGCATTCAAAGTGAAGATGCCTACTTGTTTCTTGAGAAAGCACAACTGGATGCAAACAGGGCATTTGAATTAACTCAATTCCCCACAACACTTACTGTGGCAGGTGAAGTTAACCATTTGCTCGCCAAGCATCCACTGACCCCACGGAAAGATGTTGATCATCTCAGAAACATAGCTCTTGATAGATTCTATGAGGCATCAGTCTCACAAGATGGTTCTACTTCCTCAGATGTCTATCTCAAGTGGGCAGAGTGTCTTCAAGATGGCGAGGACTGGCCATCAGCAATCGAGTCTTTCAAAATTGCTTTTGACATCGAAGGCACTGGGGCATACTTTCATGCATTACTCGCGTCAAAATTGTTGAATGCCATGTTAGGATACTACAAAGCCAAGGGGAGGCCAAAGCATTTGTTTGGGGAAGTTGCATTCTGGTTCATCTACACCCATAAGTCCTGCAATGGTCCACATAAGTACATCAAAATGCTTGACGGGGTATATGCTCCAGAGATCTTGGATATACTGGAATACAGCAGCCAACATGTTTCTGACGAGTCAACCACAGTACGAGAAATGATAAAGACTTTCAAAGAAGTCATGAATGAAAGATACATACGAGATAAGAACTTGAAAATGAGACTGAGCAACCTTGGCAAGAAGAGGAACCCCCGTCTTTCACAAAGGCAAGAGCTTGAACCAACAGCAATTCAAGAGGATGATGTACATAATGATCGCCCACTGACATTGGGTGTAGACTTTGACTTCTACATCCTTCATGAGGGAAACAACCCTGAGATAAAAGGCTGGATAAGGTATTCACTGCTAACGGGTCTTGAATGCAAGTTCTACGCCTTAAAAGGCTACTACCATCAGAGAGACTCAAGACTTGGGGCACTGGAACATGAATCAAAGGCCAAGGCAATGGAGAACTCTGCCAAGATTCTCATCGTTTTAAGCCACGGCTTTGACGCAATCAAAAATGTAACAACCGAAATAGCCCAGTGTTTACAGGCTAAAAACACAGAAAAGGTCATTGTCCTCCAGAGAGAGCCTGTGGAAGTGGCTACCAAGCTAAGATGTTACAAGAAGTTTAATTTCACTGTGCAAGTAGACCTTCCACAATTGGCGAGGTACCTACTCCCAGAAAGTTCTCTATGGGACATCTAAGAAATGTCTGTGAACAAACTCTGTGATATTTTGTAAGAGACTGCAATCCAAGCCTAATGCTACGTTTACACTATTTTCCCAGCAGCCACGGCAGCCTCGTTTGCCCGAAACGTAGTGCGCCGTGGGATTTAGATCAATTTTATCTCTGGATTCAAGTTTTGTTAGGTCTTGCCAAGTTTTCTCACGGTCTACCACGGTATCCGTGACGGGCCGTGGGGGGAAGGGGATGCTGAGTCCCGGAGGCTCCAAGGCGCACTACGGTTTGGCCCGCGTTCTACCACGGATGCCAGAACGTTCTCTACCTGCCCATCAAGTTCTGATGGGGTCCCTCACATTTCTCACGTTCTGATCAAGTTCTGTCAAGGCGTTCTACGTATGAAACATGGACGCCGGGCAGCTTTGAAGCATGATTGTGCCCACTCCTGTGACGCCCGATGAGTGGAGAGCCCTTGCCCAGGAGTTTGAAGGCAAGTGGAATGTGCCTCATGCGGTGGGAGCTCTGGACACGAAGCATATTACCATCAGCAAGCCACCCAACACAGGCTCCTTAACCACAACTACAAGGTTTTTTTTCAGTATCCCTCTCCTCGCCTCGGTGGATGCCCAGTATCGTTTTATATGGATTGAAGTTTGTGGAGTGGGACACGTCTGATTACGGACTGTCACTTTTTGTTACGTTCACCCCGTTTTACTACGGCCAACTAGGTTTCTCATCCGCACCGTGACTGCCGTGGCAAATTTGTTGACAGTTTAAAAATCTGACACGGTATCCACAGCAATCATGGCCTGTCAGGTTTGCCCATACGGTCCCCCGCGTTGTGTCACGTCAATCCCGTTTCATCCACGGTGGCCTGAAACGTGGTTGCCGTGGCCGCCGGGAACATAGTGTAAACGTAGCATAACTATATTATGTGCTCCAGTCAATTTACTACTAATTTAATTGAGTAAATGTTCATGTTTAAACAGAAGATCAAGTTCCAGGAAAGATGAAAAGTAATTGTGATCTTTTCCATTCTTTTTATATTGGTGTGGAAGGAAAATAACATAGAAAAAACATGACAAATGCAATTGGACTCCAAAAGTGTATATGCCTCCATCCTAAATTCAGTATAAAATATGCAATATGTTCTTAGAGGTTTTTCACTTTTTTAATGCAACAAAATTTATATGTACTAAAATAAAAATATGATCATGATTAAACAGATTGATGTCTCTTACCAGTACAACTAACTATGAGATAGGCCATTACAATCATTATTGGTAATTGTAATGTTTATCTAATTTTTTAAGATAGAGATCCCGGTTCTAGACATTTCAATCATGTATATTCCTATTTTTTTAATTGATTGAAATGCTATAAGTTCTCATCTCTACCAAAAGTGAATAGGATGTTCATTCAGATGCATTTGTTAATGATTTAAAGCAATGTGAATGATTTCTGAGACAGTACTATAAACACAAACAATTCGGCCAATGGCTACAATGCATCCTTGACTTAAAAACAAAACAAAAAAGAAGTTCTTCTGCCATTAATATGGAATTCCATCTCCAAGGGCTATCCAGATATTACCATTACCCCGGTCATCAAATTCATTCATGCACACAGTGTGCACTATTTCCACTCTCTAGGGAGTATTCCTACTATTATGTCCAAGGTGAGGGGTTATAGGCAATTTCCTCCTCAAGGACTTTCATCATTGTACCAGGTCCCTGTTTCTCTCCTGGATATGGAGTGGCAAATATAGATTAATGTCTTGACATGGGAATGCTGTGTCTTGGATGGAACTCACGACCTTTGCACTTCCAGTCAAAGCTTAGACACTGGACTACAACACCTGTTTGACCTGTCCACTATTCCCTTTTCCCTTTCCTGAGGAACCAACTGGTTTGAGTACCGGTAGGCAATAGTTTAAACATCATGCAAGCAATTTATTATGAGTTGGTATTATTGGCAGGTGCAAAATCAAAGACATAAACTGACTGATATGTTGTTACTGTTGATTTGATTTGATTTTTTTTTACTGACACGATTGAAGTTCAAGAAAACATTCTTTATAATACTCATGAATATAATGAGGTAGAAGTGACTTCAAAAGTTACACAAGCTCTGAATTGTTTAACTGACTATAGATGAGACCCACGATTAATATTACCAGTACATTCAGTTATGTTGGGACTGTCAGTATATTCTTCCAGGAGATGTCTCTCAGAGTAAATGAGGAGAATGAACAGAAAAAACCAAATCATACAATAAGTGGAAATTAACTAAATGAACAAAGTGTGTACAAAAATAACAGGTTAGCTAGAATCACAAACTCTTTCTATCAGGAAAAAAGCATACAACTATGTCTCTCTTTAATGCTAGTGTTGTTACATTTAATGATTTCTTCTGTTTCTTGAAATATATTACGGTAATCTTAAACCTATTCTCAGATTGGTTGAATATATATATATACAAATGCATGTATACAATATATACAAGTACATGTATTGGTGTAAATAATCATATACAAGTTTATCATCTTGTGTGGATATGGCTACTTTGTTTCTGAATTTTTAATTTGTAAAAATGCCTTTTTGTACAGATTTTTCGTACAACCAATAGTTGTGCACTGCTTCTGCATTCAAGGTCAGAAAAGTTATGAGCTAAGCTCAAAAGCTTTTTGAGTTTTCAATTAAGAATTAATAGAATAAAAGGAAAGCTCATTGGAAAAATACTAAGAATTAAGTATCATTAACATTTGACATTGACAAATGTACATGCTGTCAAAGGTTTTATTTCGTAAATCTTTGTTGTTGTAAATGTTTTCGGTGTTCATATTTCAGAGGTGAGGGTAAATAGATTAAAAGAAATAGCCTTAAGAAAGTTTTGAGCAATAGGCTGTTGTAAAACTGCATAAATACATGTTGTGTATATAATAATGATAAGTGTATATATATCTGATGTATTTTGTAATGATTAAACTTCATACCAATTATAGAAGCGTGTCTCAGATCATGTATATACAAACACATGAAAATATGGGACACATGCTGTATCATGTTTGTTGAGCATGAAAGACTGCAAAGTTAAGTGTTAAAAAATGGTTGTAATTGCTTCCATTTATGAAAAGATGGCATACAGCAGTATATCGGGAGCGCAAGGAGGGTCAAATCTGACTGACATGAGCGTTATACAAGAACCCACTATTATTATCATTATTATATACTACTGATTTAGAATATGATAATGTTGATTGTACTTGTCAAAATAATTTGTATTTCTTGATATCATTACTTTTGCATAACAAGTTCAATCATTACATTAAACCACAATGCCAAGTAGTTGTGTTTACAATAGAATAAGTCATTAGTATCTGAAATTTGGTATGTAAAATCATAATATATTACCTTGTTTTTTGTTGTTTGTAGATATAGCAAAAGATGATTTTACCAAATCTATAACAAGTTATAACAGTACAGCTAGAATTAATGAAATTCATGTATACCATATTTCATGCTTCTTAACAAAAATAAGGCCGAGATACAGAAGGATACTGTATTTTAGGCAATAATACAAATATGCTCTAAGAAATTATAAAAAGGGTTCAAGAATGTAGCCAATGAGTACCTTTTAATTGGATCACATGGGCGTGCATTAATTTTTACAATATGCACAGGGAGTGCATTTTCCCTAATGCCCTCACAGAAATGTAATATTTGTATATCATTGCTCAAATTTTTAATGTTTCAAAAGGGATGAAAGTAGTAGTCCATGATGTTTGATTGAGAACCAATAATTTCATTGGTGCAAAAATTACTGAGTCAAGGCCTAGCTGACCACTTTGATCATTATCATTACAGGTACATTACATATGCATACAGATTATCATTATACAGTAAAGCTTGATCCGGCCTTAGAGAGAAAAATGATGATTGATAGCACGTTGCTTTGACTAACAGCACAGAAATACATAAGAGAGAATAATTTTTACAATTGTGTCAAAAGTGGGTTAACATTTTTTCTTCATATTTTGAATACCAAATGATTGTTTGTTCTGCTTAATGCAATTACTAGATATGAAACATATTAAAATTGGAATGCTTCTTGAAAGTGACTTTGTTATTATAAATGCTTATGTTTAAATCTGTTGTAAACCAGAGGAAGAAAATAAATGGTACTTATAATTAACTTAATTGTCGCATTGTGCAAATAATTGAGTACAATAATGAATGTGGCAACAATATTTTGGCAAGTCTATCGTTTATGCAAATTTTATGCTAATCTATTTTCTGGAAGCATGTATGCATACATCAACTAGTCTACTCAACATGTCATTACTGAGAGTGTATTTAGTTGCCCGATCTTTTTTGAAGTTCTATTTTTTGTAATACAGTACAAAACATGGAACCCCTTACATCAAGAGCAAAGCATGTTTTGGTGATTGGTACACTTTAAGGCGAATTAGAATTAGAAGTAGATGTAGAGCACTTTAATATTGCCAATGTCTAATTTAGAAATACCGAGGTAGCTCTCTGATGTGGGAATTCCCAAGCAAGCTAGGCTTTACTAATAGAGCCCTTTAAACTGACTGCTTTTAGAAAATATATGATAACCACTGGTGTTAGCTTCGTGTTAAATTATATGCTATTAAATTTTGAATGAACAGTGGCTGGAAAATTATAATATTTTAATTTGGCAATATGATCAGTTTCAGTGCATTTATGTCGAAGAATAGACAAAAGGGCCAGCACATTCAGACTACAAAACTGAAGCAACATGCTGCAGAAGACTGTGAGTCTATATTAGTACATACAGCTACACAACATTTTTCCTAGCCATGGTTCCGATCGCAATGACATCATGCTTCGTTCAGAGATGCGTGAGTGCGAGCGTGCGAGCTGTGTTGCAGCTGTGTGATGGTACTGTAGCAGCTAAAAAGATTCGCTATCAGATTCATTCACATCAGTTTCATTCACAAAGCATTTTACGCAAAACGACGAGAGGAAATGAGTTTTTT